TACAGCTGAACTTGCTCCATCCTTCTGGTCACCAGGGGAGGAAAGTACAACCAAAAAGGCTAAAAGAATTTGAAAGGTCACACAGTTATCTGTGACACTGACTTCAGTTACTGGAATTTTGCTGTCCTCTCCTTTGTAGCACCTCACTCTTTTTCTTATATTCAGCACTTATATGAAACTAAAATAAAGCTAGTTGTCACTAGGAATGCTTCTTTGGTGCTTCCTATTAGACCTATTAATTATCATTACTTACAATATTATCCCTTTTGAGTTAGTTAAAAGTCAAACTATATTTGTGACCTCTGGGCATTGCATTTGTGTACAGGAAGTGTTGTGTTTCTCTAACATCATCCTTATTGTGATCATATACCTCCTTATTTCCTTTTTGTCTGGAATCTAAGCACTTTATTTTTAACTTCAAACTGGAACCAGGAAAGCAGATAAAGTCTGAAAGGTTCTTTTCAACACTGATTTTAGGACAATTTTTTTCCATTGGCAAAGGGGCAGCTTTACATTTATTTTTGTCTTTTAAGGGGTTCATAGTATGATTCTAGGATATTATTAATGTGGTAAAGGAAGTTGATACTTAAGTTAGTTAAAATAGTTTAAGAATTATTTATCAAACTATTGTTTTTAAACTTACTTTCATGCCAAGGCCGGTGCATATTTTTCTAAAAAATTTGAAACCTTATAATTGTTTTTTAAACTTTAAGAATTGATGTAGCAGTACTATTTCTACATAAGGTATACAAAAAATGGTTGATATCTGTTAGTTTTTCAACTTTAGTGTGACAGTAAATCTATTAAATGTAGAAAAATAAAATATGGAATCATAGATTTTAATTAATTCCTGTTTTCATTGGATCCACTCATTTTTAGGAAATATTTATTTACAAAGTTGATAATGTTTGAATTAGCAATAAAATTGGATGTTTTTCTATGCATTCTATTATCATCTTAATGAAACCATGAATAAATGATCCTATCACTTTCTATGTCTTTTCCCTTTTTTCCTAAATAAATGTATATGGAACCACATTATTATTAGAATCCACAAAAACTTTTTAGAAAGTTAAGTGCGTATGCTGCTGCTATCCAAATCATGTATTATAAAGTTAAATTTGCTTGTTGAATATTTTATTGCAGAAGAAAGTAGAAAGTACTCAGGTCAATTGAAGTGATGTAATTTATTTTTTTTTCTTTTTATTGAGTTTATTGGTACAGTCTAGGTATATAATACAGTTACATTCATTATTGGGATCCTGTACCTGTACATGACAGGTCTTGATTCTCATTTTTTCCCCTTGTCCCTGCCCTCCCTTGACCACCATCTTCCCTCCCCATTTACAAACAGAAGTGATATAATTTAACCATAGTTTGAAAAAGTAAAACATTATTTATTTATTCTTCTGATATTAAAGATTAAATCCAAAGAATGTTGAGCTACATTCCCTGGCTCTTTTTTTTTTTAGTTTGTTTTGAGACAAGGATCTTGCTAAATTGGCCAGGCTGGTCTTAAACTTGTATTCTCATGACTCAGCCTTCTGAGCTTCTGAGACTTCAGGTGCAGTTAAATGATGAAGACCAAAACATTACTGCTTGTCTTAGTGAGCATTACCCTATTAATAGGAAAACATAATGCTGTGCTGCTCAATAAACCCGTTTGCAGTGTTGCAGACACTGTCCTGTTTACTCTGTTTAAAACTGAGGGCTATTGTCTTTTAAAAAATTTTTTACATTGAATTTATTGGTACATTCTAGGTATACAGTACCGTTACATTCATTACTGGGATCCTGTACCTTTACATGACAGGTCTTGGTTCTCATTTTTTCCCCTTGTCCCCGCCTGCTCTTCATCCCCTCCTCCCCTCCCCATCTATAAACACTTTAATTACACCTTTACATTTTCTCACGGGATAATTCGCTATTGTCTTTTTTGAGAAGCATTAGAATTTAGGTTCACTTACTGGATTTTGAAAAACAGCGATGACATGTCATTCATTTTTCTTACCATTCTCTATCTTTTCAATGCAATTAACCCCACATATATTATCCTCTCGAAAAACTTTTCAATGGGTTTCACAGATTGATTGGGAGAAATGGGAGGAACTGAGATATAAGCCTCTAAGTCAGTGTTTAGGACAAATAAATTTTAGTAAAAAATTTGTAATTTGCATAGACTACATGTTTTTGTGAAATTTTTAGTCATCTTTGAAATTTTAAGTTCTTCTGATTTGTTAATGTCTAGTAGCTCTGCTCTGAATAAGATAGCCACAGTGGTAGAGGTAAAATGAGAGAAATATACATAGAATTTTCTTCAAATTTCTCCTTTCTGCTTCCATATCTTTTTCCCCCTCATTTTTGCCTTCTTGAATATTTACTAAGCCAGACTGTGGTCCAATAAAGGAGAAAGAAACATTCAACAAATCATTGCCTTGTAGCAGATAAGATTGTTTAAAATCTTTTTTCTTGTCTGTTCTCTAAGGCGTTCCTGTGAGTGGAATACTTTATATATTGACAAAAAATGATTATGTCTTAAGCCACAAAAAAATCAATAAATTCCTGTGAATTGATGAAGCCTTGATTCTCACTAAATCTATATTTGAACCTCAACTTTGGAGTCAGTTGTTGCTTGGGATAAATGAAATTGCACGACCTTACTAGTGAATAATAACCTAACTACTGCACAATCACTAGTCTTTCTACTCAAGATTACTGTACTGGTTAGCTCCACTTCAGATTCCTCTACTTGATTCTTTTTAACTTTCTGAGGTGAACTATTAGGTCATCATTTCAAAAGACACAATTGTGTTGGTATCAATTTTTTATTTGTAAATGCATTTATAAACTATGTTGATGCACAAGAAGTAACTGATCTCTGAGTGGTAAGAGGACAGAAGCGACTGCAGGAGAGCTTTGCATGTTTCTTCTCTCCTTCATGATTTCCTGCCCTTGCCCACAGGGAAGACACAGAGAGCAGCCCACAGCTTAGATCCACAACCACCCCAACTCAGCCAATCTCCAGCAAGCCCAAGAAGGGAGCCAGATGACCGACATGTCTGTTAGCAAGAATAAAGGTGGGAAGTGAGAGATGTATAAATTATCTACTGGTTCTTTTTTGTTTTGTTTTGTTTTTTGGTACCAGGGATCGAACTCAGATCCTTGTGCTTGCAAGGCAGTCGCCAGAACCACTGAGCTAAATCCCCAGCCGAAGATGTATAAATTAGTACTGAGAGAAAAATCTTATAAACAGATTTATAATTTTCACATTGACATTATTTCATAAACTAGGAGTTAATATGGACTCATTTGAAAATGTAACTATTAATAAAAAGGTATATTATTTTGAAAGACAACCATTAAATCCATTAAATCTTAGTGAGGCATAATGAGTATTGTATGATATATCACATTCTTCCCATATTATGTAATATTTTAGTGATAAAGTATGCTGTGGTGAAGTTGTATTTATTTGGGTATTTCAATGTAAAAAATGAATTCATATGAAAGACTCAGGTAACCACCACGGTATCTTTATAATTTACTTGGACTAGTAAATAGCATCGAAAGCAGAAGAAAATTTAATATTGTTTTACTGTGTTGAAGGACATCATTTCAATGAAATAATAGTGATGTCTTTTTTAAGGTTCATTACATCATGTAATTTAGATAAATAATTTTTTAGAAGTTGTATGAAGAAAATAATTTCTATTTTTCTGAGGTTAAGTAGATGAAAAGAGCTTCTTTTAACTCAGTGTGTCTTATGAAAGGAAATATTGGGTATTTTTAAAAAAACACAGAAGAAAATGAGAATCAAGACTTGTCATGTAGAGGTACAAGATCCCAACAATGAATGTTACTGTACTGTATCCCTAAAATGTACCAATAAACTCAATTAAAGCTAAAAAAAAAACACAGAAGAAAAAAAACACCACAGAAGGTACAGTTTTATTTTAATTCTGGAGCCTTAGCACCATAGAATCATGGAATTAGATAAACTTTCATTTCAATTGGCATATGGCTACTCAAAAACAAGAGGAAGGAATTTTTTTAAATAAATGATAAATACTATATTTGGTCAAAGTGCAGCACGCAAAGTATTTGACATAAATACTTATGCGATAGGAATTGTCTTATTTGCTGGAGGCAAAATTGGCAGCACATATCAATACTCACAGATATTAGGGAAGAAATTTCAGTTCTAAATATATATACTAAGAAAATGATAACAAAAGTGTGTAAAGATATTATATATGTGTATATATGTGTTCATTTATAATGCATACATGTATATTCATGTGTATACCTGTCGATATGTAAATATAGTGTATCTGTAATGGATGCTATGCTAGCGTTTAAATTTTAAATTTTTAACCTCTAAAATAGCATGTAAATTCTACTTAAATAAATATTTAATATATTTCTATATTAAAATCTACATAGAATCTATAGATAAATGACTGTATAATCCATATTTCTATAAAATCTATACATAGACTTCTATGTATAAATTTCAATATAGTCTATATTTCTATTTCTGCACAAATTTTGCAGATACAAAGATTTATAAAATTGTTAATGTATAAAAAGTATTTAAATAACTTTTCTGGGACAGGGTCTTGCTGTGCTGTTCAGACTGGTCTTGAATTCCCTCTGTAGCTCAGGCTGGCCTCAGATTTGTGGCGGTCCCCCTGCTTCAGTCTCCCAAGAGCCAGGATGACAGACATGTGCCACTATGCCCATTAAGACTATTATTGATTATTAAATGCTTGGGGAACATCACACGAAGTATGAAGAGCAACTATCACGGTTTTCTAAAATATGGTTCTTCTTCTTCTCTATTTCTGTTTTCCAAGCATTCTGGGTTGGTAATATATTACTTTAAAAACCGGTAATAAGATACAAATGCTATTACAACAGATCTGACTAGTCAGATCTATGATATTTTTATGAATATATGTGCAAATATTTCTGTTTCTTTTTAGTGAACTTGGACTTACCTTTGGTAAGGAGGCTCGTGACCCGGAACTCTGTGTGGTCATAGTCAGCACAGTAGTTATTCCCAAAGCTACCCTTGCGGGAGCTGCGTCCATGTTGATCCAGAATGAAACCCAGGACAGAATAACGATCAGGAGACTGGGGATGTACATCTGGATAAGGTAGTATCCCATCTGTCGTTCCAGATGGAATCGTACTTCTATACAAGTAAACTTTCCTAATAAGTTGTAAAATAAACACATTGCTTAGCAAAAAAGATTTTTCTTATGACATAAAATATTACAATTTTATTTTCACAGTAATTTTGGTCATTAAATTCCTACTATAATGAAGAAACTCTAAATCACATAATCAAATTTGTTTCTGATTTTTTTTTTCTGTTAGCATCTAGAATCTACGCAAGGAGAGTTTTGGGAAGTAGTATTTAATCTTATTATTTCACCAGTGAATAGTACTTGAACCTGTGCAAGTACTGAAAAGTCTGTTTTTGTTTGATCATTGTTTTTGAGGTAGACAATGAAATGCATATTTACCATAAAAAGGTTTTATTTACTCATGGACTTTTCTACTGCTTTTCAATATTTTTTTAGACCTAAAAGCTCTTTATTTCATAGATGTTTACATCACTTTAAAGTAAATGTTAAGAGAAAAAGAATGCAAGATGAATGGTTTCTTAAATAAAAATGAAATAAGATGTGTTTACTTTCAGTAACTTTGGGCATAATTTTAAAATACACTAAAATAAGTGATTTACACTTATTTTGTATATCTTATTTTGTGTATTTATTGTTTACCTCTGTTATGGTAATAGAGGAATAAATTATATTTTAAACATTGATATTGCTGCTTATCCCCTGGTTTCATTCCCTTGTCTGATATCTCTACTACTCTCTATTACATTTACTTTAATTTTTTTCTTCTAAATCACCCACTTCTTGGTTTCATTCTCTTTAATGTTAATGACTTTGAGAAGGGTGAGCCACACTACTAATAGTCTACTCATTAAGTAACATTCTCTGACCTAAACATGAAAGAATGATAATAAAGACCTCATCTAGGGAGAGAGCTAGTGTCTTGCCAGGCAGGGTTCAGTGTGAAGGATCTGCTAATGTGACTTGCTCCCTAAAGACTGCACAAATGATGCAAGAGATAGGGTAGAAGTGATTCTAGAATTTAAAAGTCTCAACAGATGTTCCTAAGTTCCAGGTAAATTGGATTCCACTTGGTAATGACTACCAATTACAAACACAATGCAAGCCACATATTGTCCCTTCATCTGTTTATCAAATGCATATAGAAGGCTTAAAGATTCCTGAAATATATGAAACTATTTAGAGCTTTAAAGCTGTATAAAATATGAAAATTAATTTTTTCATTAAAAATAAATGAAAAAGGCGAAAATAACAAATATTTCCATGATTTCATTATTTAATATCACACTCATTACATAAGTAATAACAATTTAATGATCATTTGGATATTTTGTATGATTTCACTGTTTAATGTGATTCTCAAGAAAAAATAAATTATTGCTGTATTAAAGAAAAGCATTCACATGCTTTGTTCAGAAGTAAAATAAAGGTTTACACAATACCATTGCTTGTAAGAATACTTATATGTACATACACATATACATATATATCTTTTGTGGATGCACACACATACATATGTGCGTTCTGTGTGTGACTGTGAAGAGAAAACCATTTTCTAAAAGAGAAACCCATCATCTGTGCATCATAGCAATAGACTGCCAATCAAGGGGAAGAGATTAAGAAGCTTTTGAAGACTTTAGGAGGAGACAGGTCATAGAACTTCAATGGCCTAACTTAAAAAATACTTCTGGACAATGAAAATGAACAAAGCATTTGGGTTTGTGCAGTAATTTTTATATGGATTTTTAACTGCAGTGTATTTTCTTAGAAAATGGATTTGTAAGTATGATTTTCATCAAACCTCGAGTTTTCCTTGTTGTTTATTTTGCATTTGCATAAGAAATATAAAGGTGATATCTCTGCCTATCCTTGGATAATAACTAAGAGATGACTCCTGCCCATGTAAAAGTAATATAAAATGGAGCTTAGGACCTACAACAAATTAAGCACATACCTGACGAAAGCCAGTGACATTTATTCTCACATAATTTGCTGCAGTTTATGATATTTTAATCTCCTGGGCTATAAAGCTATGAAACTTTTATTATATCATTTTAGAAAACACCTGCACAGGTTTTTGCTTACAGTAAACAATCACAAATGTTTTTTTTTCTTTTCCCTTAAGTCATAACAACTTGGTGCATAACTCTAGGAAAAATTTGCTTCGTGCTAAGGAAGTATCCTGAGGTGTATATCATAAAAATTCATCACCATGAGGCAATATTTACAGCTTCACCTCTTTCTCTGGGTTAAATTTAAGTACCTGAAATTGATGTGTACCTGGAAACTATGGATGTGACTTTATTTGGAAATAATGTATGTGCAGATGTCCTCAAGTTAAAATGAGGTTATTCTGGATTAGGGGTGCCCTGATACAATATTACTGGTGTCTGGTAAGAAGAAGGAAATTTGGATACAGAGACACAGGCATAGAAGGAGAATATCATGTAACCATGAAGACACAGAAAAGAGTATCTGTGACCCAAGGAATATCAAGGACTGCCAGAAATGGGAAAATAGAAAAGGCAGGAAGGGATTGTTCCCTAGAGCCTCCGGAGAAAGCATGGTTCTGCTGACACCTTGACTTTGGACTTCTAATCTCTGTAACTGTGAGAAAATAAATTTCTTTTGCTTTAAAGCACCAATTTGTGAGAAGATTTTTGAGGCAGCACTAGAAAACTAATACAACACCCTATCCCAACTCAGGATATTTTCACATTACACTAAAAGGAGTGCATCAGTACAACTGTCCTTAGAGAGCTGAGGAAACTGATGACTTGCCTGCCTTTTAACTTTGTGTTAAGAAGTTAATCTTGAACTCCCTAGTAAGCTCATGTATGTCACTTTTATCTCTGAGTTAAACTAGGAGGGATTTTATGAATGGATATTGTAAATTGTTAAAACTAAGAAAGACTAGGGACTGTATATAGCAACAGGTCTGATCACAGTTCTGGGAAATGCTGAGTTAATATGCATCATACTTTACTGTAATAAAATAAGGGCAGCTGTGATGCTGATGGAGGCCATGTATTCACCATCCTGTTCACAATCTTATTCACCATTTTACTTGTGGGCAGTTCACTGCAATTTATAGTAATTAGTTACACACAGTTAGATTAGGTATTTGGGAAGAACCCACACTAGTTAAGAAAAGTAAATAGATTTCATAAATGAAGAATTCACATCGAATCTCTTAATTGTTGGTGTTGGTGACAACATCTGATATTTACTTGGGGAGGCACAAAGTTCCTGTATCTGCATGAGGGGCAGTTGCTTAGATAAAAATGTCTTAAAATGCCTAAAATTGCAGTCAAAGAGAAAGTCATGGCAAATAAAGCCTTTTTTAAAACAGTAACTCCTTTTATTTTATAATTAGATAGTGGCCTTCTGTTCATGAAATATAAAAACAGTTATTTCTCATATTAAAAATAAACATTTTATGAGTCATTTCTATGTAAATATTTCTATGCACATTTCTATGTCAACATACACAAAATTATATGTGAAATTAGGCGCCAACCATTTCTTTGATCTCATATAAGCCAATTATGTAACAATATATAGTGAATCAATACATCTATGAGCTTCAAATGCATCTATTTTCTGCTCTGCCCCTATGGAAAACACTGAGCTATGTAAAGTTAAAATAATTAAACTACCATTTCAATTCGCAAACCTCTGAGTATCGTAAAATCACACATCATAAGTATAAAGAAGAATAATCGACCTCTACCTGTGTTGTAATGTTTAGTGCAATATCGTAAATCTTTTTCTTCTTTCAAAAGAAACTGGGGCAAAGTGAGTCCTTCTGCCACTTGTACAGGTGCCTCATCTTGCCATTCAAAAATTAGATCATTCATTGTGTACCCAACTAAGCAAAACATAATCAAATGTTAGTAGCTGAAAAGGACATGCAAAGTTAAAAAAGAAAAACACCCTTGTGCACTCATACAGGATGAGAACAATAACAGTGTCATCTCACCTTTATCAGTTGAGCTGTACATCACCTGATTCCATTTCGCAAAAGTGGAACACTAACCAAAAAATGTAAGAAACTGAAGTAGCTAATAAATAGTATAACATGCCAGGTAGAGGCTTAAAGAAGATACATATGCATTCTTTCTTTAGGAGGGGCAGTAACTTCATTAATTCAGCAATTTAAACTTGGATTCCACCCCATTCATTTTTTTCCTCATCTTTCTCAGGTTACTTAGAACTAATGTAGCAAAAATCGAAACTTCCACTAGGCAGGAAATGACTTTGACTAGTATAACAGGTGTGTGTGTGTGTGTGTGTGTGTGTGTGTGTGCACGCACGCGTGCGTGGGAGTGGGTTCTGCCTGACGCCTTTCTTGATGTAATCATCTTAATTTATAGCATCTGCTTTTGTGTTCCAAGTCCTAACTTGCATAAAATTGTTTTAAAAGATCTTTTTTGTACAAAGAAAATCCACATAGAATATAGTTTGTGGAGGAGGAACTTCTTGCATATGCTATTCAGGATACAATTGAATAACAGATTTTGTAGTAAGTCAGCAATGTTTGGTACAATGTAATGTCATATTTCTATTTATATACAAGGTATCTAAAACAGAAAGAATTTTATGTCTTTCTTTCCTCCAAGTAGAAACTATCGAAACTTATGCTGACAGGCTACTGGAGAGTAGTTGGGGGCAGATGATTGTCACTCTGTCAGTGAGTTCCTTGATGCACAACGACCATGGAGGCGGCAAGGAAAGGCAGAAACTAAGTCAAGTGGTCAAAGAAAGAAAAATCTCCACATCCGTGAAGATGCATACAAGGGAGACCGTACTAAACATTCCTAGAAACAAGCTGATGTTTTATGACAAAGTCTGTGAATAGCTAGAGATACCTGGGGTGGAAGAGGTTGGAGAGAACAGAGGAGTGGATACGGAAGGGAACTAATCCATTCTCCGCAGTATCTGGAAATGAACCTCCCAGAGAACACTGAGTCTGATCTAGCTGTGGTTTTAGCGACCCCACCCTTCTCTTGGACTCTTGGTTATAACTGGGAGCGTGCCTCACAGACACTGAGATGGGAATGGCAACAGTATCAGCGGTCAGACCTCTTTATGTTGTCTCGGATTCTGGTGCCAAAGTTTCTAGCAGTGGTAACATCAGTGTGACGGCTTATTACAGAGCCAACATTATTTGTTAGAGTTTGTAAGCTCAACCTGACTTAAAATCTGTCTGAATTTTTGCTCTAGAACACATATAGGAACCCACAGTACTACCCTTTAGACTTTTTTTTTTTTTAGTACCAGGAATTGAACTCAGGTCCTTATGCTATTGAGGCAGGAGGCAGAACCATAGACTTTTGAATTTAGCACAGTAGTAACTTCACTTGATCTTATCCAAAAGGCTGAGAAGCAATAGCAATAACTTAATTTCTGACTTGCTTACATCATACCGCATTTTAGTAAACCTTGCAATTAATAATTATTTATTGATAATAATCACAAGTCATTTAATATGTCCATTATAAATACAATTTTACCTAGAGAGAAAATAGGTGTACATTTCTGTGATATAAAAATAGTAAAATAGCAAAATAAGCATCAATTCTTGTTTGCTGTCAGATGAGACATACACATTTTCTTTAGTGCATATAATCAGTGAAAACAAAATATTGAGATTTTTGTCCCAATTTAGATTGGTGGGAAAGTGAGTTGAAATCTCATTTTGTTCAGAAAGTCTACGTTTTTCTCAAGATCTATGAAAACTAACTAACTCTCTGAAATTCTCTGAAAGACAATCTCTAATTAGTCTCTGATCTAATTTATAGAAACGTGTATCTTGTTCTTGTGTTACATAATAATACACTCTAAATTATTTAGGAATTAGCATTTTATATAATCATATGATCCTACCTCAATATAACATTTAAGTTTGAAATCAGAAGAAAAATAATGAGATGGCCATGTCTGGAGGAAATTATTTAATTCTGAGTAACTTATTGGTGTTTAAGGAAAGTAACAGATGGTAGGTCAAGAAACATTAAAGCAGTCAGTTTTCTCCACACAGTTCAAAGTGTTTTAATATCCATAGGCTATTGGTTGATCGATCTCTATAAAAGTTTAAAAATATTAAAGAGAAGCAAATGGCTAACGTGATCAGTGAGCTGAATCACATTGTACTACAATAAACTTCACAAGGAAAAGTAATCTATTCAGGGAACAAAGAAATCAACTTCAGCCAATAATCTCATGGTAGCTGTGGTGAAACTTGTAAATGAGTGGCTTGGTATTTATTTTTTCAACAAGTATTTACTGGACACCAACTGTGTATAAAGCTTCTCACCCCACTTGAGTAGGACCTTGAAAACATAATAGGACCTACCTGCCTTTAAAGAGTCCGAGGGAAGGTAAAGCACTTCAGGCAAAAGAAAGAGCAAATTCATTTGAAAGAAACTGAAAATTACCAAGTTAATAATAAAAAAATGGTAACAGCTTTATTCATCAAGAGTAGAGCCAATTTGCATAAAACAGCATATGAATAAACAGAAAAATTAATGTATTATTTTGTAAAGCTTACATTCTAGGTTGCAAGTTTAATTTTTTAAAAATTCCCAGTGGGCAATTGTTACGGCTTTGGTCTGGATGCCCCCTCAAAGCCTCATGCAGTCTGAGGTGGGCTTTTCAAGAAGTGGCTGGATCTAGGATATGTGATGTTGGATTGATTTATGGAACAATGGAATTAGGTAGTAGGTACTAGAACTAGGTACTAGGATTAAGGATATGAATGCTACCTGTCTAAGTAACTTGGATAATATATAAAGGAAAAAAGAGCTGTGGTCATCCTTTGTTGCTTTGCCATCTTCTTTTCAGTAAGAACTGTTTCTTCTCTGCAATGCCTGTCTGCCATGCTACTCTTTCTTAGAGTCAGTGACTATGGACGAAACTTCTACAAACTGTGAGCAAAATAAACCTTTCCCTTTTAACTTTGGGTGTCAAATATTTTGTCTCAGCAACAAGATAAAGGTAACTAAGACGGAGTTTAGTACCAGAGAAATGGGATCATTGTTGTGACTCTGACTATGTGGTTTAGGAGTTTTTGGAGCTCACTTGTGGGAATGGAATGAGTTTGGAAAGGTTTGGAGATGCCAGCTGAAAAGGAGCAGCTGGAATGCCCTATACCATACTGTAATGGAGAGTCTGGTCAGAGTTCAGAAGATGAAAATGTTTATAGAATTTTTTCTGGTAAAGACCAAGCTCAGGAGGTGTCCGTTGTGAAGAAGAGTTGCATTGGCTGCTGGACTCCAGACAATGTATGTTATATATCTTTGCAGAATGTTTATCTACATTTTGCTTGTGTTCAGAGACTTTGCCTGAGACTAAGAAGGGGGGTGAATTAGTTAAACTGGTAGAAGAAATTTCAAGGTAGTTTAATGTTGAAGCAGTAGTGTGGCTACTGTTGTGGGCTTTTAGCCAGATTTTGTTGAGCATCAAGATCAAAGAGCCCAGTAGAATGATTTAAAATGTTTTCAGTTTGGTCAGAAAGGAAACTACAGTAAAGCTGTGGATTACAAAGAGCAGAAGAGAACTTGGTTGCCCAGAAGGAAGAAGACAATAGAAAAGAACACCACAAGAGGCAGCAGGCCTCTACCTTCTGCAGTTCCAAAATTACAAAAGTGAAAGACTTTGCTTTGAGAAGAGACTCCCAGAGTACTGTGTGTCAGGACAACAACAACCTAGGCAAGTTGTTCCTTGGAATTTGGTTCATAGGCACTGGGCTCCTACAGACAAAAGAGAAGGAAGCCTGGTTATTGCTCCAGTTGGCGTCAGACCTTGGAGTCATCTATGTGGTGCTGGTTGTAGGTGCATGTTGAATGCAAGAGTTTGGGGGTTAGGAAGGCTTCCTCTGAAATTTCAGAAGAAGGCCTGGGAGGTCAGGCAGTGTGACCCTAAGAGGGCATTGTGTGAACTCTGAATGTGAAGCCAAAGGTGCTTTGGAGACCCTAAAAGGTTGAAGGAGCCAGAAACATGGATTGTCCAAGGAAAGTCACAAAGAATGAGCAAAGTTGGTCAAAGAAAGAAGCCATGGGAGCTAAAACCACCAGAAGAGCCATAGCGGCAGAGCCACACAAACACTTTGGAGTTCTCGGCTTGCCACAAGACTGCTGAGGATATTGAAAGTAGAAGAGATTTAATGTTTACCCTGCTGGGTTTTGGTCTTGATTTGTTTCCATTCCTTGTTGCTCCTTGGTTTGTAACTTTTGGAAGGGAAATGTTTATCATGTGCCATTGTATGTTTAAAGTGTTAACTTTCTTTGCATTTGTACAGGAACTTGCAGCTAAGAGTTTGCCTTAAATCTCATAGGAAATTTTGGTCTTGGAATTTTCAACAGTGCTCAAACTGTTAGCAATTTCACAACTCTTAGAGTTGAACTAAATGCCTTTTGTATACAGGAATGTGCATAAGTCTCTAGTGGCACTAGGGAAAAATGTTACAGCTTGTGTCTAGATGTTCCCCCAAAACCTCATGCAATCATAGGTGGAGCTTTTGCAGAGGGTGGCTGAACCTAGTTTGTGAAGCTGGGATTAATTTGTGGTCTAATTGTAGGCTCAAGGGCACTAGGATTAAGACTGTGAGTGCTACCTGCCTGAGCAATAAGAGGCAATTGGAATCTTTTCAGCAAGAGGATGGCATTGTAGAAGCTATTCTTCAGATAAATCACAGTAGCATAGTCCTGTTGTGGGATAAACAAGGTTCAAACAACTTTTGTAGTCATAATTAGACATGGTTTGCCTTTTTTATTGTCTTGACATTTACCTTGATGCTGAAAAATCACTGAAGAGTTAAACTGTTGCTTTAGCACAAATAAAGGCAGTGGAATCAGATTGCACTGGTTT